GGCAGAAATTAACGAAAAAGAAATAGATTGTAGAAAATAAATTTTTGAGGGGATTACGTTTCAACAGGGAAAGATGCTTGAAGTTTACTCTCCTCATGTGCAATATCCGCACAAAATGCTTTAACAAGGGCGGATTCGCATATCATGAGACCGGCAGTGGTGTTGCGAGAGTCTACTATTTTTACGTTCTTGTCATTATTAAAGCATTTGGTGCTATATTTTCACTATACGTTACTAATTTCTACTGAAGAAGGAAAGCTACTGTGAGCTGCCGTAAAATCATAATAATTCATTTGACATCACAAGTTAAAGCGCTGGAGTCCCTGGTACAGAGCCAAAACGAAAATGACAGACACTCTGATTACGAAAGTTTAAAGAATTTTTTCAAAGCACAAGAACATACGACCAACACGTCATAAGACAAAAATAAAATAAGAACACAGAAACGTTAAAACCTCGACTGATGACAAGGAACTTCACACCGTTGTGAAACGATTAAGGAACACTGCGATTAAATGTCACAGATTCTGTTCGAGTCAAAATAAACGACAGAGCACCGCATCACTAAAACCGACGTACTATTACGAAACGAGTACAACTTACGCAGAAATTAATTACTTACAACTGGCAAGGGTGATGGAAGTTCTTCTTTGTGTTTATTGTCTTACTGAACGGCGACATGATCTGATCCGAAGGGCTCTGGTATGTATCATGAAGCTGGCGCATTCGAACACATGCCGGGGTCACGTGGGGCTTCGTCGCTCCGCCGTTATTGGTCTTCGTACCAAATGTTTTTGAAGGAGCAGAAAATTCTACTTCTTTTTCCTCATTCGGTTGTTGGTTTCCATTATTGTTCATCGAATCCATGTCAAATGACGCAAAACCGTAAAAGTACAAAAATTACCAAACCTACGAACGGGTATTAGACAAGAATAGAAGTTTTGAAACACGGTTTCGCGTTTTTTTGTAGATTTTCAGGTATTATAAACTAACCTGCTAGGTATTTTAATATACAGTAAAAAATACTGCATGCACTAGTAACGGACAAACTAGTCAGAAAGTTACAGAACAGTTAGGTACCGAATCTGAACACAGTTTCATTTCTGCTAAGCCTTATAATTTTACACTGTTATCATAATTTAGCCGAGAATAAAAAATACCCGTGACTCATGCAGTTTTAAATATGCATTATAAAAAACATCCTGCCTAATTCTGAGAAGTCAAAGCGTCAGACATTAATCTGGGCACTCGATCCTTGACACGGCTACTTCAAATACTGATGTTTGCAACAACGTTATAAAGAAGTACACCTAACAAAAGCTATTTTTTTACAATGACAGGTAGAAAATCCAGCACCGGACGAGCAAGGATTAATTTGTCAACACGCTTAAATGAAATATAGAGAAATGCATCTGACCGTCTGCATAGAAATAGGGTCATTTAACCCATAAATTCTGATGTCGCGTCACTACGCGGAATTCCAAAATTTCGACTGGTTAAGTTCCCAAAAAATGTTTTTCTCCATCCTCTGGGATTATTCATAAACAATCGTTCACTAGATTTCTAATAGATCATTATTAAGCATCGCCTGACATACGATTTGCCTTTAAAAAGCAGAATAAGGAAACTGAGCTGTAGCCGAATTAACACCCCTTCGTGAGGAGTGGAAAATTACTGATTTAGGTTAGACAATAAGTCATAATGGGATGAAAAATATTCTAGACGCCACAACACTGAAAAGAATGCGCTACGAAGATTCACAAGCAAGAAAATTTGTATTCAACCATTTTTCGGTTCATCGCTAGCATTGAAAACCACAGTCAACTCCTCCCAAGCGTTTTATGTTTCAATAAATTTTCTTCGTCTGTTTTACTTTTAATAAACAGTTTCGGCGTTGCCAGTCACAGCATTCTTTGATTGCTCCATTCGGAGCTAAAAGTCGAATCAAAGTTAATCACACGAACCGGAAGAACAGTAATTCCACTAAGTATTGAGAATGCTATTGGTGATTCAATAATGTGAAAAAAGTTCATCACAACGTTTGCTCCAGGCTAGAGACTGGTCAATTCATATTGACTGTTTAAATACAAATTGGAAACGTATTTGAATAAAATTGTTTACGAATTATAATGCCTTCCGTACACTGCGACAGATACACAGATAAGAACCATTGATCAATGACACGTGATTTACTGACAACTGATAAACAATTCAATATAACTCACAACAAATAAACCAAATGAATTAATAACTGTTTTTTTCTACCGTCGCGCTTTGGAAAACGTCATAATCTGTTACATTTATTAAAGAACTTTCGTTTCGACATTTGATTTGACAGTAATTATAGATGTTACAACTGTTATTCAACTCAGATTAATAGTAGATCATGTTAATGCTACTCAGTAACAAATGTTCAATAAAAGAAACAAGAACATTTTCAATTTCATTTATAGTTCGCTCCCTCAGCATCAACTGTAACAGCAAAAGAATTAAAGCTCCTTATATGCATATACAGACGCATCACAGACGAAAAGGCGATAAGGAGACATGGAATTTATTTGAACTCAATGCATAACCGTGTAAAGTCTTCCATGTACAACAACTCGAGAGAGCACTTTCGTTTATGGAATCTATCCCTTTGTCAGTGCGTCTTTAATGTAATCTGTTAAATCAGGGTCTTTGATTTTCAACTCTTGACACAGAGAAAGCACAAGTTTCGCAATGCGTTCGACATGCTCATCGTTAGACTCGGGTCCAATTTCATGCAACCGTTTGGCTAGCCTAAGCACATATTCGATATTTGTTCCACTTGGTCCTGAAGAGGAGACGATCTAAACGAAGATCGAGTATAAGCCAGTGTTGATGAAAAATAACATGGCAAGTTACAAACTTTCTATGACCTCTTAAATATTAGTGAGTACAGATGTCACATAAAATCGCATTCGTACTTGACCTGAAGAAATGGAAAAAGCGGGTATGCATCGAATGCCGGTCTTCTGTAGATGCGCATCTTTGTAGGTTTGATGCAGATCACGGCTACGATGTAATCAGTTAGGAAGACTACGTTTCTTGATGGCAACTACAACTAAATGGTAACTACGGCGCATAATCTCTTATTTCCTCATCATAGAAAAGTACTGCGCCTGGCAGAAAGGCAGAAACAGAAATACACGGAAATTTACCTCATGGACAAAGTTTCAGCAGCTGGAATCAACAGTGGGTCATGTCTCTGGACCTTATAAATACTATCAAGCCAGCCTCACCTCAAGGATATACATAAAATAACAAAGTATATATGTAAAACAAATTTCCATTTTAAAGAATAAAACAGATCATTTACGAGGAGAAAATGCAATACAATACAAACAAACACTGATCTGTAGCACTTCATAATTTCGAAATAAACTAGAAGGAAACGAACTCAAAGGGCGACGTAGTTTGATAAAGCTGCTCAAAAAGAAAATGCAAATATTTTCGGTACCTTTGTCACTTAGGAACCGTACAATGCCCATAGACAGGTTGGAGGACAATCACAAAAGACGTAGATATGTAGCTGAAGCAGTCCTTCCCACAAAGAAGAACATGACCTTTGCTGTAGCAACGAACATGGTCTAATATCAATGTGAAGTACCATTTCTGACAGTCAACATCATAAATATGCTTAACCCTTCGATTTAAGCTCCGTTAGCTTCAGACGACAAAAATAAGAAGGAAATGAACACAAACATACTAATGCCTCGAGCAACGGTTGACTAGTTGCTCAGTGTCTTTGCCAATTACAATGAATGTGTCACGCGTGATACGCGGTTATGCTATGTTATCTAAAATGTTTATTGCTTTAATACACAAACAACTCTTCGCGCTAAGTTATACACTTAGCAAATAAACCTCCGTTTTTGGACATCCGTCATCTGTAAGGAGTCAAGGGGCTTTCTTTTGTAAGGAACAGATAATTACTTCGGGGTCTTGTGGGAGGAAACATGTCAGGTTCTGACGGAGTGTTAATTTTTTCTGGTCGTACTCGCTTGCTGCACCAGTCGCATTTAAGTGCAGAATTTGGCGATATGCAAAAAACCTTTATCTGGTGCGCTTTATTATGCAGTCTGCCCCCTCCGTTTCAGAGAACCAGGGTAACGACATGCATCCAGAACAAAAAACCGCCACATTCTCCTTACAACAATAGAGCCCTTTTCAGTCTCACCACTAACCGTTAAACGCGGAGGGCTCGCATCGAAACTCTTGCCTCTTGTCTCCAATCGCTGGGAAGGTTTTCGTCGAATCAGCTCGCCTCGATCTGCCCAGCGGCCGAGTTGGCATATTTAAAGGCTGGCTATGAGCACAGATAGAATGCAACAGAGAACCAGCTTGTGGTTACTCGTAGTACACTACTTGTTGTCTGATCGTGATTGATCAATACTGCCAATTTGAGCTTCTTTCTTACGCTGAGTTCGATGGCAATTTTGGCTGATGGATGTCGTCGTAGGATATCAATTCCTCCAAATGGTATCAATCCCTACACATTGTCTCTGACACTGATGGTGGTACTCACATAAAAGAGTTTCTCAACATCTTTGTACAGTCCGTTGCACCTAGAAAGTTCTGCTTCTCGACCCCACACTCAATCACTGTCGAAAAATGCTTGAATCGAAGGTGTCGAATATCAAAACTTCAGTCGAATCTGCGCCATGCGAAACGTCTGCTGTACCAGGTGGAACGCGTCTTCCAGTCTGTTCGTTTTTGGTAGCATTTCCAGAATTACCGGACAATAAGTCTACGGGTAACGAAACATCTAGCCAGAGAATTCTATTGTC